ACTGCCAGGCCATCAAATGCTAATCAAGGTGGTCAGTTGAAACATTCATACCTAGCTCCAACAGACAAGAGTGCTTTGTCACACCTTGGTCATTCCACAGATATATAAATCCATTTTCCTAGTTCCAAAAGACCTCACTACCTCTGAGGATGCTTGCCATAGATCAGGCGAAAAGTCAGGAGAAAATGCCTCCAGAACATGACCATATAGCCTGAAAAAACCTACAACAACCCACTAACTAAGTATTTTTAATTACAAAAATGTGAGTCAAGCACTGAAAGCAGGGGTCCTCAAACTTTTTAAACAGAGGGCCACGTCACAATCCCTCAACCTGTTGGAGGGCCAGATTATAATTTGAAAAAAAAACCATGAATGAATGCCTATGCACACTGCACATATCATATATGTAGTGCAAAAAATACTTTAAAACAATACAATAATTAAAATGAAGAACAATTTTAACAAATATAAACTTATTAGTATTTCAATGGGAAGTGTGGGCATGCTTTTGGCTGATGAGATAGGATTGTTGTTGTTGTGTGCTTTCAAGTCATTTCAGACTTAGGTTGACCCTGAGCGAGGGCCAGGTAAATGACCTTGGAGGGCAGTATTCAGCCCCCGGGACTTAGTTTGGGTCCCCTGACTGAAAGGGTTAAATGGATGCAATGACTCAGCAAAAGCTGCAGTTCTATATAAGCAGGTGTGCCTGTAGCATAGTAGCAGTCAGTATGAGGTAAACCTCAGTGGGTCTGAGAAAGGTCTCAGTCTGTTAGAATGCCTCCCCGTGTGAGGTAGACCTTTGTGAGAGAAGCCTGTGTGTGAGGTAAGCCTCGGTATGAGAAGTCCTCGTGTGTGAAGCTCCAGTGTGAAGTTTGAACTTTATCTGTGTTATGGAAACTTTGTTCTTGTAAATAGTACAACCATATTATGTTTCTATAAAGAAAAGCCTTCTATGGAAGAGATAACATGGGTCTATGTGTTTTTGTTCTATTTATCCCTTTTGGCTACTGGTGATGGGTCATGCTGCTGCTGAGAAGTTACTCTGTTGTACATTTATGATGATGGTCTTTTGTTGATAAGCCCACTCACCCAACACTCATGGCTTTCAGCCCAGCTTCTGCCTACCTAGCAGATAAAAAACAGCAATATGAGTAGATAAATAGGTACCGCTTTACGCAGGGTGGTATTTAAGGCATCCATAAGGAAATACCAGAAAATACCAGCAATGTGATCAAGGAGGAAGTTTATGAACAAAGCTCTTCAGCAGAGAGATGGAGCGACAGCATACACACACACACACACTCACACCGGGGCCGGAACCGAGCACAGCCTCCAAGATGCCAAAGATGGGAAAGCCTGTATACCTCTACTATGTAAAGTTGTCTGCCTTGTC